AAAAAAAAAACCCAAAACAAAACCAACACCCCCACCCAAAAAAAAAAAACCAACCCAAAACCAAACAAAAACCACACACACAAAAAACCCCAACCCACACCAGACATCTGTACCCTTTATCTTATGGCATGCTAACAGCCTACAGGGAGGTAGAAAAAGCACCACCTAAAGAAAATGCTTTTGTCATCGCATCCTCTCCTTTTCTCTCTGTGCATCCCTTCCCTCGCACTGGCAAGAAGAAAGCAAAAAGCATGTTGTATGGCATTTGGTTTTAGTTGTCTCCAAGGCAATTTTGTAATCAGATGAGTTTTGCTTCCTTGCTTCAGAACTTTCCATGGATAGCTCTTCAACTATAATCAGATGCTCAGGTTTTTTTCCCAAGCTCCTATTGGCACTTGAGATTGGCCAGCAGTGTTTCACTGTCACGGATTTCAGCAGTATTGCAAGTGGCAGGCAGTATCTCAATTGAATACCAATTCCTTTAAAATCATTCTTGATGGCTCACCAGGGTCTAACTCCAGAGAACTCTTGCAGAAGTTCTTACATGGTTTTCACTTCTGTGAGTCTTGCATCTTAAAACATTGTATATTCCTGTAATGCCCAGGAAGCTTAGTTACTTGTTCTTAAGTGTATGGTGGCTTAGTTGTTAATATAGTATGCGGAAGACTGTATAATTAATGCTTTTAAAAAATAAAGTATAGCCTTGCTTATATTGTGAAATTTTTTATATGGCCAAGGCTTCAGGAACATGTAGGAAATGAAAGACCTTACAAGCACACCAATGTTTTTTTTTTTTTTTTAAGTTGGAAGCAGGTTGCCAATTCTCAAAAAAAAAATGCTTGTGTTCTATTTAGGATCTATCTTTAGGGCAGGCAATCAGAGGTAAGAACCTTGTGTTGCTGCATTTCACTAAAATTTGAAGCCATGAGGTGATGGGTTTTATAATCTTTCATTAAATTGCATAGTCTTCAAAAGTCTGGAGGGAGGGTTCGGCTTCCACCTCCCATGGCAAGTCTGTGGGAGTTTGGTGCCCTTTGGTATCTCTGTGCAGTGACACTTCCATAGCAGAAGGTGGGTTCAACTTATAGGGGAAAAAAAAAATCAGTCTGATTTAGGGAAGATTGGTCTCTCTTTAGTCAAATGAGTGTTCAGGTTTTGTCTGACTGAGTTTACACACCAGAACACCAGATGTAAAATGTGCATAGGCTCTGCTGCTAACAAAAATGAGCAGAAACTCCCCTTAATTTCAGTGGTTATTGATTGGATCAGATGATTTATGAGATAATCCTCGGTATTCAGAGACCTAGAAGGAAATTTCAGCACTGTTCATGAAAAATCAGATATGTTTTTATGTTGTATTTACTTACTAAGGCAGTCTGTCTGGCCCAGTGTGTCTTTGAAGCATTCATTCAGTATCCTGTTTTGGTTAAGGCTGGTAACTTGGCTTGTTGTACTGTTAACATGGCACTGCTACACAGTTCCTGAAGAGAGGGAGAATCCACTTGGTGAACCAGCTGTTGGGTTTGGGTAAGCTATTACATACCACCTTGTAGCAGCTGATGTCAACAAGGAAGACTGTAACTGCTAAATCTAGTAGAAATGTGCTTAAACGGGAAACGGAATAAATCGACCTTTTCCTGGACTTCTCTGAACTGTCTGTTCAGTTCTGTGTTACTCCTCAAAACCAAACAGACTTCACGACTGTTGCTTCAGCTTGCAAAGCGAAGTTAATTGTATGGGAAACTCAACAGTAGAAACAAAATTCTCGTAAGAAGTTGAGCTGTGACCAAGTAATTTGACCATGGATCTAGACTGGTCATTTCTTGTTTCCTAGGCATTTTTTAAAAAGCACTTCAAAGATGTCACCTTCAGAAACATTTAGTGCAGGTCTAGCATACTATGCTCAAGTCGGGGGGTTGTACAGTTCTATGGGAGCCGCGTTAGGTTAACGTTGAAGATCTCTGAAAACTCCGTACCTGAGTATCTTTTTCCAGGTACTTGTCTATGAAATTCCAATGGTAAATACCTATATGTCTGTATAGGTGGTCAAATGTGGGTTTTATGCTGTTGCAGTGTCTATGGTATTCACACAACATTTTCTCACGTTGCTTGTGTGATAGCAAGAGGTGGAGCTCACTCCTTGTTTTCAGACTCATACTGGATTAATCTAGTCAAGGCTGTGGAGATGTAGTCAAGGTCTTGCTCGTCTGGGTGGTGCTTTTGGGTGGGCTTCACCCCAGGACAAGCATACTAGAAATCATATTGTGAGTTCCTACTGTCTGACTTTGTTTACAGATTGTCTTTTAACATTGTTGAAGACTTGTAGGTTTTTTTCTCGCTTATTCTTCTGGAGTGTCTGTTCTAGATTTGCTTTAGACTTAACCTTTTTTTTTTTTTTTTTTTTTTTTTTTTTTTGTTTTTTTTGATTTTTTTTTGACTTAACCTTTTTTTTTTTTTTTTTTTTAATTTTGGCTTTAGTTGTAAGTGATCACAGTAACAAAACTTGCTTGGATGTCCCAAGTGAAACTTTTGTTTTGAACTTTGAGTCAGGGCGATGGGCTGACTTTTTGTTGTGGTGGTGGTGAAAAGTGCAATTCCAGAGACTGTTCCCCAAGAACTATTTTTTCACTTTACTAGTATTGCTATGCATTTTTTTATCACTCTCTTGTTGACATACACTGCCTGAGACCACAATACGAATTGCAGGTTCTAAGCGGACTTCTGCACTAGGGCCATTCAAGTCAGTTGCTATTCTGGCTTCCTTGGTAATTTATTCATGTCAGTGGTCAAGACACAAACCTTGGAGGGTGAGAAGGGGGAAGGAACTGTGTCCTGTGAGGTACAATGCAGCGTGTATTGCCACTTATCTGGGAACGTCTTTGTAACTGTACTTCTGGCTCTGGTACCCATGAGTAATAGTGTTCTGAGCTTAAGGCATAAAACCCCTATGGAGTCCTCCCCCATCAGGCAATCCCTTCTGTCCTCTCTTTTTTCCCTTTTTATTGATCATCTGATTGTCTATTTCTGTCTTATTAAACATAATTCTTCTGTAATTCAGATATCGCTTTTCTGACCTGCAGATTCTTGGAGTGTTGTATTTTCTCATGCTGCGTTTGCGTGATTAATGTTTACAGTTGGTATAAAGTATCAGCGAAGCAGTCACGTTGGTATAAAGTATCAGCGAAGAGTTTTGACTTCAAGAGCAATCCGTGTTGACGGCACAGCAGTTTTGCTGCTTTGGTAAAACTGCTACAGCCTAAGTCTTGCAATAAAACTGCATTATGTTTCTGTGTCAGAGGTAACATTTCTGAGAGTCTTACTTAGGATGGGAGGAGTCCGTAGATTAGGTTGAAGCAGCAGCACAAATTACAGCTGTTACCAAACATGGAGTACTAATACTTGTATGTTGAGCAGCAGTTGGTTTGGTTTGGTTTCTTTTCTCCCAGCCTCCTGACTGAAACAACTTCAACTCTACAATTTTGCGGGTACTGTAGGTATGACTGTTCTACTCTGATGTATGTTTAAAACCTTTCACTTCTCTCTAGCCTTGTCACTCTGACTATTCAAGTTTGTAGTCCTGATACTGAGAAAACTTGGTAACTGGTAATGGTGGATAGCATCTACCATTTTGGCTTAATGCTTTTGCCAATGTTGATGTGCTTGGATTGTATCCATGAGGAAAACTGCTTTTGATGATCTTTGGAGGTCTTTTGCAATAGTTTATATTTTGAAAAGCTAATACAGAATACCTAGTTTCTCAGGTCAAGTCAGCTGAAGGCTCAAAAGTTGTATGGAAGCTTAGCAAAAGTAATTTCCTATTGCCACCAATATTTTAATGCTAAAACTGTTCCTTTTTTTGTTTGTTTGTGTTTGCATAGAAACTATGTGAGGGAATTCTAAACATCCTTGAAAAAGACACAAAAACTTCATGTAAAGTTGCCTGCCTGGAGGCCCTGCGGATTCTCTCCAGGGACAAGAAGGTTTTAGTGCCTGTAACCACGAAGAGGAACATGCAGATCCTCATGAGGCTAGCAAAGCTGGACACTGTGGAAGATCCTTTGGAGAGAGTGTCTGAATTTCCTGTTATAGTAGAAGCTTTAAAATGCCTCTGTAACATAATTTTTAATAGCGCTATTGCACAGAAGCTCAGTTTGGAGCTGAATCTTGCAGCTATGCTCTGCAATCTTCTGGAAAAATGCAAGGACCAACAGTTTGTTGATGACATTAAATGCTTTGATTTGCGTCTCCTCTTCCTCTTGTCGCTTCTGCACACAGATATTAGATCGCAGTTGCGGCAGGAATTACAAGGGGTGCAAGTTCTGACTCAGGCTTTGGAAAGTTCCCTGAGTGTAAGATGGACAGAAGAATATAAAGCAGCGGAAGATCGTGACAGGCCTCCTTTATCTTTGCAAGAGACAGATTGTGCCATTGAGGCACTAAAGGCTCTTTTTAATGTCACGCTTGACAGTTGGAATGTCCACAGCGAGGTAAGGCTTAGCTCAAGTGTTTTTTAAATTTGTTTTGTTTAGCCTGCAGGAGCCAGAACAGCAGGTAGATACACAAGAGGCAGTTGTCCAAGCCCCAGAGCAAGGATGTGAATACTTAACTTTTGCCACTGTAATTTTGATGGAATATGATTGCGTTTTTCAAAATAGCAGCTAAGGTAGTCTTGAAATTTTGCATCATAATTTGTATGCAGAATAAGTGTGAGAAAATTTGTCAGTCTGAGTTCTGGTTGTGTCATGTATTGATGATCTTGGGTTTTCAAGAGGTGTTGAGTCTTTAACGTTCATGGTTTTGAATTCCAAAATAACTTTTTTTTTCTTGTCACTACTTAGGCAAAAAAAATCTAATCAATACATTTTCTGTGTAATGGGAGAGTAGCTTGCTATATATAATGCAAATTAGAACTGTTAAGTTTCCAAATATGAAATAGTTGTCTTTGCATTTTAAGAGTCTGAGATTTCTGAAAGAAAACAAATACTGTTCACTAATAATTAGCTGGCTAGGAAAAATTTTTTAATGTAAATGTATCAGATGGCTACATCTCTGGACATTGTGAACTATGGCAATAGGGTAATAATTAGAGCTGAGAAGTCTCCCTAGTTTTCTTCTGGTTTTCTGGTCATGATAAGCACATCAACTCTAATTTTTAAGAAATAACTCTGAAGAAAGAGTGGTACTGTTTTTAATATCTTTTTCTCCCAACCTCAGGTTTGGACTCGAACGTAAACTTTTAAGATGAGGTCAAGTATGAGAACCAAACACATTTTTATTGTTATGTCTTATCAATAAGATTTATCTTGGTTTTTTCATTACAACATCAGATCTATTTTTTCTCGCAGACAAATATGCTTCCTATGTGTTGCATCCCTAAATTTATAAACAGAAATTATAAGGAGATAACTTTATTTGTTGAATAAGCTAAGTCTGTGCTGCAGTAATAGTATTAAATAGGGAATCTTTCTTTTTAGTACACATCATATTGTCTCTAAAACACTGCTGTTAACTTTTCACTAGGCATTGTAAATATGCAGCATATAAAACTAAGAAGAAGTTTACAGTAGTTAAAACTGACAAATACTTGTCCTCTTTAGTGCATTGGACTAAACAGTAAATATTACATTAATCAGAACATTAAGGAATGTAAAACTTGAGAAAAGTCTGAAGTTTATTCTTTGTTTTAATCTCTTAAGTATATGCTGAATAAGAAATCCTGAAATTTAAGATTAAGTGGGTGGGTGGAAAAATCGGAGATACTAATACTTCAAATTTCAAGGAAATATGAAGAAAATGAGGGGCTTTTCTCTTGTTTATATTCGTGGGTTAGACATTTATTAAAAATATCTTTACCTTTGTCAGAGAAAGTTCTTTGTATAGACAAATGATTGTTCTGGAGGTAGGAACCTCAGTGGAGAAAAATGACCCAAAGTCAAGCATATATAACACAGCTATATGAATGTTCGCTACTTCAAAGTTTGAAAAACATAATCTTTGTGGTTATTACTGTGTGGAGGAAATAATGTCAGGTGTTAAGCTGGAAAATGAAGCTATATTACACGTTCACCTCTTGAGAAGTAAGTTTGTGAAATCCAAATCTTGAAGTTGGTAAACTTTTACAAAATACTGGGAATCCTGAGAGATAAAAGCCCAGTTTACCCCCGAACAGTGGGCGGGAGGTGGCACACAGCTGTGGCCGTACCTGATGGGGTTTTGTGTGGTCGCTGTCTGTAGAATGAGGGAGGCTTTGTCCTACAAAACTTTTCCTCCCTAAAAAGCCCAAGCATGCAGCTGTCAGGAAAATTTCCTGCAGATTGGAGGAAATTCTGGTGTTAGTAAGCTTTTATTTATTTATTTATTTGGATGAGAGTTTAAGATATTCTGGGGTGGGAGAAGGTTTTTTTGTGTTTTGAGATAAAGCTTATATAACAAGTCTTTACTAAAAGTTCCTAAAAGCAAGGAACCTTTAAATTAAAGAGCTCTTTAGTAGTTGTAAACTGTTAGCCAGAGATGTTGGGTGATATTCTGCTTAGCAAGTATCCCTGTGGAAATATTAATGATCTCTAAGAAGAGTTAAACAGCATGTTAATTAAGTGGGCTGAAGATGCAGAATTTGAAGAGATTACAAACAGCAGACAGGATGGAAAATAAAAGGAGAGCAGAGAGGTTGGGCATGTGGGTAGAAAACTAAATGAGATCTATCCTAAAGGGGAAAGAACCATTTGAAACACCAGTATTTAATGACTGGAGATGGTTTCAAAGTAGCGAAGCCAGACAAGAGCTGCAGGTGGTGCATTTGGCAGATTTGGATGCTGATGTTACAAAAGATGCATTGGGGCGCTTTGTGCTAGGTCAAACACACCAGAACATATGATGGATGCCAAGAAGAGCTAATGAAAAAGGACGAGGACTGTGATACACAAAGTTAAATGATTGCAGTTATTGGTGTACTTTTGTGTGGCTGCTCTCTGGTGGGAGATTGGAAGGGGGAATTGCTTAGAGAGAGAGCAAAAGTAGGGCGAATAAGGTTGCTGAGAGTAGAGAAGTTATTAATGAAATGGAGAAAAGCTATCAAGGGAACAGAAGCAAGTGAATTAGAAAAAGAAACAGACTGGGTGGGGAATGAAACTTGGCAGCAAAAGGTCTAAATGAGGAGGCGGCACATGAAATGAAGAACATATGTAATCTAAATGGATGAAGAGGCGGCTGGGTGTAAATACAGGAAGGCAGACAGTAGTGGTATATTAGGCATAGTGGTTTGGAATTGGGCAAATGGTTGTAACGGGGTTTTCTGGTAGTGAAGGCTCATTTAACTGGAAAAAAGTCCTCAGCGACTTTCACAAGGCCTAGTTAAAAGGCCAGTTACGTTACGTTCAGCGTACTCTAAGGTACAGTCCTTTTATTGATAGGGATGGATGTTATGATCTAATAGGTATTTTCCATCTTTAATTTTTATTATTCTAGTGACCAGAAACCCCCACTTGCAATCTTCAAAATGAAAAAATATCTTCATAATTTATATTTATATAGAATGAATCTCATCAATTTCGTTACATGGCTGCCATCCTTCGACACTGCTTATTAACTGCGGGCCCTACTGAGGACAAAACTGAAGAGTTGCACAGGTTGGTAGAATTGCAGAACCAATCTATTTTAAAAGGTTGTTGTTTTTTTTAAATAGAAAAAAAAAATACTTTGTCTAAAATCTAAAGTGGAAGTTTGAGAAACAATGAAAACTATTAATTTTGAGTAAAATATTGTTAATCTTTTTGATGAAAGCTGTTTGCCTGAAATATTGTTTAAGCACGTCCACTATTCGAGAGAAAAAGTGGCTGGCAAGATTGTTAATTTTGATCAATAATAATGAAGCTGACCTTTTTGAAATCTTTTGTGCGTGTGCGTGTAACTGAGGATGGAAACGCATGTCGAAGTTCTAGGGGCAGTGCTGTTTGAAGTGGAATGCAACTTCTCGTTTTGCACAGAAGCTGATGGAAAAACTGCATTTTAAGATTTTTTTTTAACGTAACTTTTGCGATAATCACGGATTGAGGTGGAAGTAACAAGTTGATATTTTATCTCCAATACTTCTAGGCTGCTTTATTAAAAGTACAAATATCAGTTCCCTGGTA